CTCCCCCGGCCGGCCGAGCTGAGCCAGCCAGACAGCCCGCTCCGGGTCCCAGTATCTCGTTCCATCTTCACGGTGCTCACTGCTGTCTGAAGTTATTCGTTATTTTTTCTCTCACTTTGTTTTCTGAGCCCCTGCCCCACTCGGACCCCAACTCCAGGAGCGCGGGGTCTTGTCTGTCTGGTTCCCGCTGTCCCTGCCCAGAGCAGGTGCTCGGCGAGTGTGTCGAATAAACACAGAACACGCATGTTCACGTCCACGGAGCCGCGGCCGCCTACAGCACCCCGGACGGAAGCGGGGACATGGCAGAGGGCACGCGGCGTCCCGCCCCACCCCGCACGCGGCTGCCCCCTGGGAGCCCCGCGCCCTGGCGAATCTGCTCACCCAGCCCAGGAGCTGCGGGGCCCCTGCTGCCAGAACCCCGCGTTCCCCCAGCTCAGGGCTCTCGCTCCACGGCAGGGGAGGGGTCCTGGCTGTCACTCCCCCTCCGAGTCCGGGCAGCCTGTGAGGAACGCTGGGCCTGAACCCCTTTGCCCCTCAAAGTCCCTGAGTCTGTCTCAGGCCTTTGCTGGCCCTCCCCTGCCACCGGAGTTCATGGGACAAGATAAGACGTCCGTTCATTTCTCGGCTCCGTCCCTCCCTCTTCCGTGTCCCTGCCTTGCCTGTCGGAGTCTACGGGGCCCCTGGCACTAATTTGCTGATAGAAAAAAGGCAGTTGGCCCCATCCCCAGGCTTTTAGCTTGAAGAGCACCCAAGGAGCCTCCCTGGAACCTTCCCAGTCCTCTGCCAAGCCACACACAGGTCCTGGGGCCCTGGCAAGCCCCGTGCTCCTTTGTCCCACTCCCTGCAGCTCTCCCCTGGGAGCGGCCGAGTCAGACACAGGCTCCGGGCAGCAAGCCTGGCAGAGCAGCAGCCTCTAATTTCATGGCCTGCGGTGCCCAGGGCCCAGCGATGACAGCTGCCACTCAGCGGCCCTGGGAGAGGCTAGGAGTCGCTTCTTGCCCGGCCCCATCGCCCACCTGCACACCCCAGGGATCTGGGCAAGGTCTGGGGCACGTGTGTGTGTTTACATAACGCTTTCATTGTGGTATCATTCAGACACCACACGATGCACCCATTTAAAATACAGATTCGCAGGGTTGTATTGGTGCCACAGTCACCACTATCAGTTTTAGGACAAAGAAACCTGCACCCAGCAGCAGTCACTCTCCGGGTCTGTTTTGGACAGAAACGAAGCTTGCAGGGCTGGGGGGCTTTTTCATGAGCAGATGGCAGACGCCCCAGGAAGGGTGGTGCCCCTGCCAGAACATAGGGGCAGCGAGCCCTGGCATATGCGGATTGTGCCCAGGAAGACCGTGGCCCTCCCTACAGGGCACCTTGGCCGCGTCTGCACGTGTGCACAGGATACGGCTTCTACGCGGAGCATCGCTCCCTCGCCGGCCACCATGACGCCTTAAAGGCTCGTCAGAGCCCGGTGCCCACGGGCCAGGAAAAAGAATACGATGCCTGGTCCACTATTTGTTCTGGCCCAGAACTAACTGGAGGAGACAGGTGCTGTTTGGCCTGTCTGTCCGTCACCCCCACCCTGGTTCCAGGCCTCAGCTTTTCTTTCGGGGAACCAGCTCACCCCCACACCTGGTCTGGATGGCTTGGGGTGCAGCTGAGTAATACATATAACAGGGCACTTCACCCAGAGCCAGCCAATCGGGGCTCCGCATCCCCCCCCTCCAGCCACAGAGATGGGCTCAGGGATGAGCGTGTGACCCAGGCACAACCAGTCACACAGACGTCTCAAAATCACAGCGAGACTTGGGCGCCGAGGAGACCGAGGAAACCCCGGGCTCGCTGATCCAGGGGGACGCCCACCCGCGCCGCTGGGAGCCCGAGCAGGCGCCAACTGAATAAGGGGGTGGGGGTGGGGGCTGTTAACGCTGAGCCCTTTTTATCTCCTCGAACGATTTATATAGTCCCGTAAATCCCCTTCATATTTACTCCTACCGGGGGTGGTTTTCCATCATTTGCAAAATTTGCGGGGAAGCTGACTTGCTTATTGCACGAACTGAGCTAATGAGCTACTTCAAACATGGGAGGCGTCAGGCACACAGCAAGGGTGGCTCCATCCATCCCAGCACGGGGGAGCCCCCCTACGCCCCACCTCTCTAGGCCTGCTCCCCTGGCCACACCCCGGATTCAGGTCTCAAGAGCGATGTCGAACAGGATGAAAGAGGCTCGGTCAGACCAAAACTGGGCACCAAGCCTCCAGGAAGCCCACATGGCTCACTGCCACCTGTCCTTAGGACACGGGTGTGGCCCCAAGGACCCTGCCGCATTGCGGAGCTGGGGTTGAATTCATTTCTACAGAGGCCATGGGGCATTTACCGGGTAGTAATGCTGAGCTCCCGAGCTGGCCCCGGGACGCGTCAGAGATGAGAGAGGGCGTGTTCATCCCTCCCCCCCCCTCTTAGCTACCCGTTTCTTCGCTGTTCCCTGGTAGGGGCCCAGTGTGCAGGGACAGAGTGCACCACACACAAAGCTCTGCATTACAAGCTCAGAGACAGCACTTCCCGTTGTCCCGTCAGAGCGCAAACTGGAAAAGCCCAGGAATAGGCCCCAGCTAACACGTTTGGCAAATAAGGCTTGGCTTTGGAGCCTCACTTTCTCCCTCTGTCCCCCCCCCACTTTCCCAGTGTGCCCCACACCCGCAGGGACCTCCACTCAGTCCTGCTCCCTTCTCTCTAGTAACTCCCATCCACAGCTTGTCACACTAGAAAAAGAGCTGACAAGAGTAACTCTTACTAAAGGGTTAGTGACTACTAGAGACACAGTGTGCCCCAAACACGCTTAGTACGAGCCACTGCCAGGTGGGTGAGACAGACAGCAGGTCCACACTACAGGGAGACAATTAGTAACCAAAAGCCAAATGCCCCGGCCCATTTCCCCACTAAATGCTCCCCTGGCTCCCCTCCAACCACACTCCAGAGCGGAGAGGTGCTATTCACCAAAATTAAGGCAAACTACGAATGTGATATATTGGGTAAGATTTTCTGCTTCAGTGTTTCCCAAAGCATGCGGCGCGTATCAATGAGTTTTCGAGGACACTCGCGTGGAACACTCGATGACACCGAATTATCTCTTCTGTTCTCCTGATTCAGTCCAGGAGAGGGTCCCGGGTAGATGCTAGAACGCCTTTAACGCGTCCCGGGATCCGTTCGTCTCCCTTTCTACACGCGAACACGCACGTAGGAGACCGCAGGCCTCGGGCCCAGAGCCTTCAATAGATTAGACAACAACAACAAAGTGATCTTTTCATACTACTTCCTCCTTCCTGCAAGTGATGCCGCTTTTCCATGTAAAGTGGTGAAATAAAGTTTCCTTTTAAAATAAATATTTAAGTAAGGGGGGGGTGGGGGAAAGAATACGGCTGATTTAAATGATGCCCTGGCTAGTGTGGCTCAGTCGGTTAGGCGGCGTCCAGGGCACCCAGAGGTCCCCAGTTCGAGTCCCAGTCAGGGCACATCAACCCCCAGTAGGGGGCGAGCAGGAGTCAGCCCGTCGATGTTTCACTCTCACATCGATGTTTCTCTCGCTCTCCCTTTCCCTTCCACTCTCTCTAAAGATCCATTTTTTAAAAAATTAAGAAATAATAGCAATAAAAAGCGGGGGAAATGACCATCCAGGCGATACAAGGACGCGGCGAAAATGGCGTGGCGGGGACAGGAATGAGCGCAGTCTGAGAAACACCGATCTTTTCTAAAAGGCTACGTGCTACGGGACTGCGTACCTGAGGACGGCCGTCCCCCTGGTCCGTACCTCTTGGCTCTACCTTCGGGGTAACGCCCGGCAGAGCAGGGCTCTGCCCTAAGGGACCACTGGGCAGAAAAGTGAGACGGCGGCAAATTATTTCGGGGAGTTGGGAGACGCCCCCAATTCAATACATGCTCCTGGTTGTTCCTGATTAGCCCCCAGGTGAGAGGAAGGGGGGAGGGCTTGGGAAGCTGTAACTTCTTGTTTTGGGAAAGGACAGGAACAATGGTGCAGAGGGGCTCCGGTGGCCACCCCAAAAAGGAATCAGAACTATGGGAAATGGGTCCTGCAGGGCAAGCCGTGGATCTCAACTGAGTCCGGAGACTCATCTCCCTGTGGGGGACCAGCACTCAGAACCCGGGCGTCCTCGCAGTGACCGTATCCCAGTTTCCCCTGGGGAACCAGCCCCTCCCCGACACGCAGCTCCTAGGCTCCCAAGGACAGCCGCGGGCCAGGGGGAGGGGGCTCACGCCCGGACAATCACAGCGGCGCAGTCTCTGGCTACAGCGACTGGCTCCGAGATGGGCACGGGATCCAGCGAACACCAGTGGGACCCAGGGAGGCTCCTGCAGGAGAGGAATGTGCCCTGTTTTGCCGGGAACGCTAGAAGTAAAGACCTGAGCTCGGAGCTGCCGGATGCCCCTACGTGGAACCTGAGAACAGACAGCACAGTGGACGGCAGAGGCCAGAGGGGGAGAAGCCGCGTCCTGACGGCGTTGTCTGAGCGCCTGGATGAAACCTGACCTGACGTCAACCCCAAAGGACCCGTTTCTCGACATGAGGAAGTAAATTTCCTGCTGTGTTGAGCCCGTGTGAGTTAGGGCTTCTTGTGAACAAGAGACGGACTACCCCAAGGAGGGAGGGAATGCAGGCTGAGGGTGACAGCCCTCCCCTGGCTGCCCTACGCCCCCCGCCAAGCCGGGCCCCCAATTACCTGGATCCATTGCTGATGAGAATACTCTCCCGGATCGTCAGGGTGCAGTAATACCACACCAGCAGGAAGTTAAAGACTTCGTCCGTGACCCTGGCGTGGAGAAACAGCCCCCGGAGGGGAGCAGGCGTGAGGACCCGGGACGGCGGTCCCGGCCCCAGGGCGACGGAACAGCGAACCAGGCCGAGGGCTGCCCACAACGGGTGCCTGCGGACCCCTCCTGGGCCCCGGGAGGCAGAGGGGGCCTGGCCCTCAGGCGTCTTCCCTCCCCCTTGAGTGCTCATTGCCCTCCTTGCCTTTCTGCCCGAATCCTATCCGCCCACAAGGCGCTCGCTGAGGTTTCCCTCCTTCCCTGGCCACCTAGCCCACAACAGCCCGTCTCCCTTCCAGATTCCTCCCGTCCGACGTGACGCTTCTGGTGGGACGGCGACAGGAGGGCTTTCGTCAGGAAACCTTCATAGGCTATTTTACGCCACCCGCAGTGACACGATGCGAACTCCCTCTGTCCCCTTAAACCAGCTGGAAACCTTGTTGCACGAACAAAACCAACTCCCGTGGCCTGAGCTGTGGGTGAGAGGAACGTAAGAGCTCCCTGCCTCCTGTGCAGGGGCCGCAGGCCCGAGCAGGCCTCGGAGGCGGACAGAGCGGCGGCTGGAGCGGGCTGTGCCCCGGTGGGGGGCCGGGGGGCCGAAGGGTCTGCGTTTCCTGTAGCTGCTGTAGCCACGGGGCACACACTTCGCGGCCTGAAGCAACACACGTTCCCTCCCTTAAAGCTCTGGAGGTCAGAGTCGGAAACGGGCCACGTGTTCCTTCCGGGGGCTCGAGGACAGAATCCGTTTCACTGCCTCTTCCAGCTCCTAGAGGTGGCCCCGCACAGGTCCGGCCTCTGCTTCTGCCTCACATCTCCTACCGTGACTCTGACCCTCCCTCGTATAAGGCCCCTGTGATGACACGGGGCCCACCAGTTAATCCAGGATCATCTCTCCGTCTCGGGGTCTTTTTTTTCCCCTTTAACCTCACTCGAGGATATGCTTTTACTGATGTTAGAGAGATAGAGGAAGGGGGAGAGAGAGAGAAAAAAGCATCGATGTGAAAGAGAAACACCGATCGGACCGGGGATTAAACCCGCAACCCAGGCATGTGCCTGCAGAAGAAGCATGGTCCTGCCGGCACCTCGATCTCAGGCTTCTGGCCTCCAGACCGCGAGGAAACCTGTTTCTGCTGTTTTAAGGCCCCCAGCTCCTGGCGCTTTGTTACACGACGCCCCTCCGAAATGAAGACAGAAGCGGGTGGGGAGCAGTGGGAACATCCAGGCCCTGGACACCACACCACACGTCTGCCTCTGAGGGCCCGAGGCCCAGCTCAGGAACCTGGTTGCCCATTGAGAACTCTCACCCCCTTCCAGAGGGGTGTGCGAGCTGGCATTACTAATGGGTGCGGCCTTTGCCCTCCAGGGAAGCGGGCCAGGCCCGAGGCAGAAGGCAGGCACGGGCCCAGGGCCTAAAAGAGCCTTTGTTTGGACGTTCGAGTGGCCAGACCAGCAAGTGGACTCCCAGCCAAGTGCCTGCTAGGAAATAAACCCCTAACGCGTGGGCCAAGTGCCCGAGCTGTGCTCGACCGCCTCCCCTGGGGCAGGAAACCCAGGGCCACAAGGAGAAGTGAAACCCCTGGGGCACCGTGGCTCCGGCCCCTGGCCTCGTCCTACTCGGACAGCAACGGCGATGCTCTCAATGCACCCACGGGTGCCACGCACTGGGCAGAGCCCTCCACGGACAGTGTTCACACGCTGAATCGTCACAGGAATCCTGTGAGGTGGGCACTGGTGTTACCCTCATTGTATCGACGGGGTTCCAGAGGGAACCTGCCCGTGGTAACAGCCAGTTAGTCTCAAAGCCAAGAGCAAACCTGGGCCACCTGTCACCCATCTCTCTCTCCTCCTCTGTCTCTCTGTCTTTCTGTTCCCTTCCTTCCTCCCTCCTTCTTTCTTTTTGTACTTGACGTATATAATTCACATACCATAACATTCACCCTTTTAAGGTATTCATTTGGTGGGATTTTTTTTTGTATATTCACAAAGCTGTGCACCCCTCACTACGACCTAATTCCAGAACATTCTCATCGCTCCAAAAGAAACCCCGCGCCCATTAGCAGTCACTCCCCGTTCCACCCTCCCCTCAGCCCCGGGCAACCACTAATCTATTTTCAGTCTCTATGGAGCTGCCTGATCTCAACGTCCCACAGAAACGGAATCCTGCGATACGTGACCTGTGGTGACCGGCTTCTTTCACGTAACATACAGGGTGGGGCAAAAGGAGATTTACAGGTAGGTGTTTGTACGGAAAATAATAAATCATACAAAGAAACGGTTTCACGTACCCACGACTGTAAACCTACTTTTGCCTCACCCTGTAACGTTTTCGAGATTCACCTGCGCCGTAGCCTGGCTTAGGACGCCGTTTCTTTTTCATGACCAAGTAATATTCCACTGCACAAGTACACCAAATGGGGCTCTTTCTTTACCACATTCTAAGGCATCTCCGGCAGCCCTTTGGTAGGTATTAACTGGATGGATGGATGGATGGATGGATGGATGGATGGATGGATGGATGGATGATGGATGGATGGATGGATGGATGGGTGGATGGGTGGATGGATGGGTGGATGGATGGGTGGATGGATGGATGGATGGATGGGTGGATGGATGGATGGATGATGGATGGATGGATGGATGGATGGATGGATGGGTGGATGGATGGGTGGATGGATGGGTGGATGGATGGGTGGATGGATGGATGGATGGATGGGTGGATGGATGATGGATGGATGGAGGACAGGATGCTACTTCTTATGAGAAATGGCCCTTCGCTATCTACACACATCTCGTCACACCAAACACTGCGGATGCAGGAGGGACCCCGGATCCCTCTCCCAGGGCCCCCTCGCCCCCAGCATGCCCCACACCCCGCCAGGCTGCGTTACCTGTAGTGAAGGACAAACTGACAGGCCACAGCACCCAGGAGCAAGATGATGGTCAGGTAGAGCTTGAACTTCTCATATTCGTCCTTGTAGGCGAATCTATGACAACAGACATGCCCAGGAAAGGTCACGTGACTATCACTGCATCTGCAGTAATATAACTATGTTCCATCGGGGGCGGGACCGTTGGCCCATCAGGGCCTTGACTTATATCCCGTAAGGACCTTCTGATCCCACTAAAAGGGGAGACCTGACCTTGAAGGAGTGGTGACCATCAATTAGGGAACAAGGGCCGAAAGCTTCCCACATCCCTGGACTCCCTCTTTAGGGCTCCGGGAGTGCTGGGGACAGGCAGGGAGCAGAGACGGTCCCCTCCCCAAACCAGCTACTGCCATGGAAACGCCAGGGCTCCATTTCTCTAGAAACTGATTGCTTTTGGGTGGACACGACTGTCGGCTTTCCAGGAGAAAAGCGTATGGCAAGGCGTGGAACGGAGCAGAGCCGTTTCTCACGGGAAACCGGCAGTCCTGTCCTCAATGGACTGCATGAAGGAAGAGAGGAATCCNGAGGCGTGGAACGGAGCAGAGCCGATTCTCACGGGAAACCGGCAGTCCTGTCCTCAGCTGATGGACTGCATGAAGGAAGAGAGGAATCCTTTCTCTCTCGGGGGTTAGCCCGCCGAGGAGGAGCGCGCCAGAGAGGCCAAGAGCCGGAGCGCTGACTGTTCGCGGTTTTCCGTTTATGCAAAAATTCTAGTTGGGTCCCAACTCTCCTGAGTTGAAAGAGCAAAACGCCTGGATTCCATAAAGCCGGGCGGGGGTCTGGGACACTTACTTGGCCTGGTTGCTGAGAAGGGTCACACTCACGTTGCCGAGGACCAGGTTCAAGTACAGCCTGGAAGGAAAGACCTGTGAGGCCGCCACATCCCTAACAGCCCCGGGAGTGGCCCCAACCAAAAATATTCAGACGTGATAGGCACCGCTGGGCAGCCCCAACGGGAAGGTGGGAGTTATGCAGACCACGTGTCCTAGGCCTGGGCGTCTGTCCGCAGCAGGGGGCGGGGTGTGTGTGTGTGTGGGTGTGTGTGTGTGTGTCTGTGTCTCTGTGTGTCTGTGTGTGTGTGTGTCTGTGTCTGTGTGTGTGTCTGTGTCTGTGTGTGTGTGTGTCTGTGTCTGTGTGTGTGTCTGTGTCTGTGTGTGTGTGTGTCTGTGTCTGTGTGTCTGTGTGTCTGTGTCTGTGTGTGTCTGTGTCTGTCTGTGTGTCTGTGTGTCTGTGTGTGTCTGTCTGTCTGTGTGTGTGTCTGTGTGTGTGTCTGTGTGTGTGTGTCTGTGTGTATGTGTCTGTGTGTCTGTGTGTCTGTGTGTGTGTCTGTGTGTGTGTGTGTTCCCAGCTCCTACCCATTCTTCTTGGGCAGATAGGCCTCCATGTCGAAGAAGATGTTCTGTCGCTCCTTGATGCTGACATCGATCTGCTGAACCAGCTCCGCCTCCTCCCGACTGGCCTGGCGCTTGTACCTGGGGTCAGAGGTGAGGGCGGAGGAGCTGCAGGGGCCATTACTCGGGCTGGAGGAAGAGCCCGGAGGCTCCGGCCACTGCCCTCCCTTTCTTCCATCCCAGTGCTTCTGGCAGTCTCAGTCCTCCACCTGAACTCTCGGGGTCTGATGCGGGCTCCCTGCTAGCGAGCCTCGTGACCTCGGGGATGCCCTTCAACCTCTCTGCCTTACTCTCCGTGTCTAAAAACCAGGCATCGCATCAAACATCAGGCCCACCTCCTGGACAACACCGCTGTGGCGAGTGAGTGAGTAAATGAGATGTAAGGTATTTAGAATGATACTGGACACACAGTACGAGCTCAGTGGAAATCTACTGGCAATATTCTTCCCACTATTCCTTCTCCCCGCCCCCAAATAACTTTGATTTAATCATGGGAAGGAAACTAAATGGAAACCTTACAACAGAGCAGAATTACATGTCAGTGTCTTTTGCAAACTAAGCTAGGACACGAAGGGTCTGGGGCTGTGCTTGCTACTGTTAAAGGAATAACTTGCCCTGGCCGGTCAGGCTCAGTGGTTAGAGCGCCCCCTGCAGACTGGAGGGTCCTGGGTTGGATTCCAGCCAAGGGCATGTACCTGGGTTGCAGGCTCCATCCCCTTTGGCTGAAAGGGTGCCTTGGGCTGGGGTGGCCGAGCCAGAAGGGAGAAAGGCTGGAGGGCGTAAGCCTGGCCCTGGATCCAGTGATGCCTGAAGCCGCTCCCCATTACAATTTCCATTCTGTGCTCAAGCCAGTTCTGAGCTGGGTTTCTGAGCCTGAGAACCAGGGGAGCCCACCTACCTCTGGAGCGCGCGCTTCAGGTCCCTCAGGCGCGTCTTATGCTTGCGGATGGAGCTGCTGCAGGACGTCTGCAGCGCCGTCACCTCCTCCAGCTTCTGCCTGTAGATCCTGTGCGTTTCCTGAGGGATGGAGCAGCCGGGGCAGGGTGTATGAGTGAACACGAACAGGTCATTTTGGGTAGTTTGCTCGTGTCAGGGGGCATGGCTACCGTTTCCTCTCCTACCCGGGCTCCATTCTTCCTGAGGGTAACAGCAACCAAATATGACTTTGAGGGGCCACCTCTCAGATATGACTTTGAGGGGCCACCTCTCAGTCCCGGTGGTCTATGAGTAGAGCTGACAGTCCCCACGCCAAGAGTGGTCCTGTCACCCAGGCCTGGCCAATCGGTACCTTCCAATCCCCTGGCAACTGTTTGGTTCAGACACGGACGTATGGCTTAAATGGGCCAAGGAGGGTCAGCCCCGGGACCCTGCTGGGAACACTGGCTCTTTCTCCCGGGTTTGCTAACCTGGCAGCGGGCACACGTGGGGCTGCTGAGTGGGGAGAGCCTGCCTAAGAATGAAGCCAAAGAGGAAAACAGAGCTGAGACATGGTAAGAGGCAGAGTTCTCAGCTCATCTCAGCGCCTGGCCCTAACGGCGCCCGAGTGTGATGCCATCCAATACTCCCGGTTATGTGAATTCATAAGCTCCTCCCCACTGAGGCCAGTGGGAGCTGGGTTCCTGATCCTGGCAACCAAGAGAGTTCTTACTGTGTCGACTGCGGGAAGGGCCTACCTCTTCCCTGGCAGCCAACCCGCCCTACCCTGGGCAGGTCACTCCAATGAACTCCATACCTCATTCCTGGAAATAACCATTCAGGGCCACAAGGCCGCGGGAGATACAAGAGACTTTGCCCCAAAGCTGGGAGAATGGGACACAATCGCTTCTCGACATCGCACACCACCCCCAAATGACGCCGTAGGCCGGGAAGCAAGCCCATCCCTCTAAATTTGGTCATCTGAGACAAATACCGACAATCTGGAGAAACCAGTGGGAGGGGATGGGAAGCGTGAGATGAAATACAACGATCCAATGAACACATTTAAAGCGGTTGTCTTCCTGGCTGGTGGAGACACGTATACTCAGCGGAGGGAGAGAAAAGGGAGATGGTCCGACAGGGAGGCCGGAGCCTAAATTCTCGTGCCTGCCAAGCCAGGTCCCCAAACGTGCAGGGTAAGCCAGAAGGTACCGGAGGAGGAGAGAAACGGCGTGAGCAGGAACAAGCAGGGCAGCACTGAGGCCCGCGGACAGCGGGTCTCCCTCGGCTCCCCGGCAGGAGGGCTCCGTCCCGCGAGTTCAAACAGTGTCACCGGTCGCTCCCTCCTGGGCCCCCAGGGAGGAAAATTCTGTCTCTATTTAACTTTTTATAATTTTTAAATAATTTCAAACTTGCAGAAGAATTGTAAGAAGAGGACAAAGAACTCCCCTCCTCCCTTCCCCCAGATTCACCAGCGGTTGGCATTACGCCTCCCCCCACCCCAGTCCCCATGCGTGTTCTTTTTCTATATCAGGCGTCAGGAATTTATAGCCCACGGGCCAAATCCAGCCACATGATTTTGTATGGGCAGTAAGCTCGAAATGGTTTTTCCTTGGTTGGGGAAAAAAAAAAAAATCGAAGGGATATTTCGTGACAAGTGAAAGTCTATGAAGTTGAAATTTCGGTATCCGTAAGTAAGCTGTCCCTGAGCGCGGCCAGGCCCACTCATTTACATGTTCTCTGTGGCCTCCCTGGGACGACAGCCGCAGAGCGAGAGGTTGTGACAGGGACCATATGGCCCGCAAGGCCTAGAATCCTTGCTACTTGGCTTCTGCGCCAAAAAAAGTTTGCCGCCTCCTTTCCTGAACCACTTGGGAGTCAGCTGTGGAGGGCACGCTTCCTTAGGCCTTAGTGCTTCATTGTATTTCCTAAGAACAGGGACCTTCTCTCATATCCACAGTGCAACCATCAAATACGGACAATGTATCCTTGGTACCCTGCAATGCCGTGACCTCCAATACCACCCAGATTCAAATTCTGCTCACTGTCCATTGAGGGCAATTTCCCCCCAGATCCTGGACCCAATTCGGTCTCCTGCCTTGTATTCCTGTCTGTATCTCTCTTTAAAAAAAAAAAAATTTTTTTTAATTGATTTTAGAGAGAGGAAGAGAGAGGGAGAGATAGAAACATCGATGACAGAGAAACATCACTTTGATTGGCTGCCTCCTGCACACCCCCTACTGGCAATCGAGCCCGTAACCCAGATATATGCCCTGACCAGGAATCGAACTGGTGACCTCTTTGGGGTTGGGTGCCACCAAGGGGAGGTAAGACCAAGACTGCAACATCAGCAGCCAGATGCTTACCAGGCCCTCTTCAGTTTGAATTAATATTTAATTTCAGCCCGGCCGGCATAGCTCAGCGGTTGAGCATCGACCTAGGATCCAGGAGATCGCGGTTCGATTCCTGGTCAGGGCACAGGCCCGGCTTGTGGGCTCGATCCCCAGTCAGGGGCCTGCAGGAGGCAGCCGATCGATGACTCTCTCATCATTGANCGGCTTGTGGGCTCCATCCCCAGTCAGGGGCCTGCAGGAGGCAGCCGATCGATGACTCTCTCATCATTGATGTTTCTATCTCTCTCTCCCTCTCCCGTCCTCTCTCTAAAATCAATAAAGACATATTTAAAAATATATATATAATTTCAAAGTAAAATATGAAGACATTATCCTTATTAAAAAGTAAAACATTACAGCTACAGCTGGAGTCAGCTTTGAACACACCTCTGTCCTTCCTTCCCATCCCCAGAAGTAATCACTGTTACCAGTTTCTTCTAGACCTTTTCCTACGGAGTCTTCCAGACTGTATTCTATGTATCTCTGTATTTCTACATTTTATATAGACCTGTATCTATATATACACATAAATACATAGACATATATATATGAAAAGTACACTGTTGCAAAAACTAATCGTCCCTAATATGTATTCTCCTTTGCTTCCTTTTAGCAACAGGACCCCAAAGAGCTGTAGCTGGGCCTACGGCCTACAGACTACATTTCCCAGCCTCCCCTGCAGCCAGAGGTAGTGGCACCACTAAGAGTTAGCCGATGGGATACAAGCAGAAGTGATGCCTATAAGTTCTGAGCCACATTTTTTATGAGGATCTGCTTGGCCTCCACTCTCCCTTTCCCTGGCTGGCATATGGCAACAAAGGGTCCAGTTACACTGAAACCAGAGACAAAAGCTACATGATATAAATGGCAAAGCCCACTGTCCTCTCCCCGGCCAAACCAACCAGCATCCCAGGTAACCTCGTACGACAGAGCTTCCAACCTGTGGTGGTTTAAAAACATGACTTGTCCATCCTTTAGCACTCCTCACATAGAGAGGTGGGGGTCTGTTCCTTCCCCTTAAATATAGGTAAGCTCGGGGCTGGTTGGACCAAAAAATATATATACGCATATACGTGGCAAAAGTGACACTATATATTTTCTGAGAACAAGTTGTGGAAGGACATNAAAATATATATATAATTTCAAAGTAAAATATGAAGACATTATCCTTATTAAAAAGTAAAACATTACAGCTACAGCTGGAGTCAGCTTTGAACACACCTCTGTCCTTCCTTCCCATCCCCAGAAGTAATCACTGTTACCAGTTTCTTCTAGACCTTTTCCTACGGAGTCTTCCAGACTGTATTCTATGTATCTCTGTATTTCTACATTTTATATAGACCTGTATCTATATATACACATAAATACATAGACATATATATGAAAAGTACACTGTTGCAAAAACTAATCGTCCCTAATATGTATTCTCCTTTGCTTCCTTTTAGCAACAGGACCCCAAAGAGCTGTAGCTGGGCCTACGGCCTACAGACTACATTTCCCAGCCTCCCCTGCAGCCAGAGGTAGTGGCACCACTAAGAGTTAGCCGATGGGATACAAGCAGAAGTGATGCCTATAAGTTCTGAGCCACATTTTTTATGAGGATCTGCTTGGCCTCCACTCTCCCTTTCCCTGGCTGGCATATGGCAACAAAGGGTCCAGTTACACTGAAACCAGAGACAAAAGCTACATGATATAAATGGCAAAGCCCACTGTCCTCTCCCCGGCCAAACCAACCAGCATCCCAGGTAACCTCGTACGACAGAGCTTCCAACCTGTGGTGGTTTAAAAACATGACTTGTCCATCCTTTAGCACTCCTCACATAGAGAGGTGGGGGTCTGTTCCTTCCCCTTAAATATAGGTAAGCTCGGGGCTGGTTGGACCAAAAAATATATATACGCATATACGTGGCAAAAGTGACACTATATATTTTCTGAGAACAAGTTGTGGAAGGACATCTGGCTTCCACCTTATTTGCCGAAACACTCACTCTTGGAGCAAAAATTCAACTACCCTGAGGCCACCATGCTGTACAGAAGAAGTCGCAAGTAGACACTGATAAACAGTCCCCGCTGGAATGACAAACCTTCTTGTCATTCCAGCTCAGGCACCGCAGGGATAAAGACATCTCCAGTTGACTCCAGCCCCAGCATGTGAGCTACGGCCAGCCACTCGAGCCTTCCCCGCTAAGGCCCCTGGCATCACAGAGCACAGTCAAGCCGTCTGGACTGTGCCCCGTCTAAATTCCTGACTCACAGGGTCCGTGAGCAAAATGCAATGATTGCTGTTTTACGCAGCCACGGATAACTGGAATCCCACTCACCCTGGAGAAAGAAAGCCTCTTTGGGGACTCTCTCTGTTATAACAGCATAGCTTATGCTTTAAAGCACAGACTTTGGATTTTTTTTCCCCCCTCACCCGAGGATATTCTTTCCATTGCTTTTCAGAGAGCGTGAAAGGGAGAGAGAGAGGAAGAGAAACATCGATGTGAGAGAGACATATCAGTGTGTTACCTCCTGCACAAGCCCCAAACGGGGCTGGGGATCAAACCTGCAACCGAGGTACAGGCCCTTGGCCGGAATCGAACCCGAGACCCTTCAGTCGACGGGCTGACGCTCTACCCACGGAGGGAAACTGGCCAAGGCTAGGGCCGTACTTTCGATTTTTAAAAAAATATATTAACAGTATCAGAATACGCATACGATTCCACAACTTTCTTTTCTTACTCAGCAAATCCGCGTTCAAAATCTACCCATGTCAGAATGCATTTAGCTCGCTCCTTTTAGCGCTGTGCAGCATGTCCTGCTGTGGAGTCGCGACAGTCTATTTAAGCCATTCCCCTACTGCTGGGCGCTTAGGTTGTTTCCAGTCTCCTGACTACCACCCACGATGCACCACGGGTTAATATCATTGCACGGCCTGCCTCCCCGGGAACACACGCTAGGATCTCTCTGGGGAAGAGTCTCTCTGGGAAAAAGAAATGGAATTGCTGGGTCAGAGGGTGTAGGCTTGTTTTTAGTTTTGACAGATCTTGGCAAACTGCCCACAGAGTGGCTGTACCAATTTACGGTCTCACCCACGGCATATGACAGTTGTCCACATCTCACCAACTCTCAATGCTATCAACACTTTTTAAAATATATATATGTTTTTATTATTATATATGTTATATATATGTTATTATTATATATGTTATCATATATGTTTTATTATTATGTATGTTATATGTTATATGTTATATATGTTATTATATATTAACATATATATGTTAATGCTATCAACACTTTTTAAAATATATATATATATATTTTAAATATATATGTGTCTTTATTATTATATATGTTATATATATATGTTATTATTATATATGTTTTATTATTATGTATGTTATATATATTATATATGTTATATATGTTATTATTATATATTAACATATATATGTTAATG